TTTTTTCCGGGGGAAAACAGAAATTTTCGGGAAAATTGAAAAAAATGCTACATTAGCACTTTTTTTTTCTTTTCCAGATTGAAAGTCATTCTGTTACTTTAGGAACATAAAATATGACTATGGACCTTTTTCTTGGCATGAAATTATCACAACTACCATATTAAAAAAATACTGTATCCAAACAATTATTACAAACAGAATACCCACCCACATGCAAAAACAAAACTGAAACCTTTTCCTTTTCTTGTGACAACAGCACCTCCTAAAGGAAGAAATGCATCTTGTTCTTGCATTGGAGAGTTCAGTTTGTAACCTAGGACTTGCTTGTCCTCAGTGCACAGAAATTAGATCAATCTGATACCATACATATTTTTTAGAAATGATTTGGAAAATATTTGAACACCTTGTCTTAAAATATTTTATTCATCGTGTTAAAATAAAATGTTCCATAATCATTTTTTCCCTTTTCTTTTTTTTATTTTTCCAATTTTTCGGGAAAAAAAACAAAAAAGGCTTCAGGAAAAAAAACGGGGGGGGGGGGAAGGTTTCCCCCCAAAAAAGGGGGGGGGGGGAACGTTTCCCCCCAAAAATGTTTCCGTTTTTTCCCTGGCCTTCACATCTCTACTCACAGGGGGTGTCTGTTGTGGGGAGGGGAATGAAAAGGAGTTTGTAAGCTGCTCTGAGACTCCTTCGGGCAGTGAAGGGCGGGGTATAAATCCAATCTCCTCCTCCTCCTCCTCTTCTTGTTATCTAATGGTGCCATCCCTAAGCAGAGGCAAATCCTTCTGAGGCCACTGAGGCCAGCGCACTGGGAAGGTCGATCCCCTCCAAGAGCTGTACCGTCAAGCTCTTGGCACACAGACCAGGTAGTCACACGGGGTTATCATGGGTACAAATCCTGGGCTTCAACAGAGCAGATGCTCCCGAAAAATGGCCAGCAGGTTTTTCTCGCCCTCGGAATTCCAGAGATAATTTCTCTGTGCGCGAAGGACAGAAACATCCTTTGCAAGACATCGAAGGGGAATGTGGCGCCCTTCCCCTGGCATTTAGTCATGCCTGAATGCTGAGTGGATACAGAACCTACATCCGTAGAAGGAAAGGGCCCAGACAGGCAGCCTGAGGCACCGTCATCAAGAGGGGTCCTGGATGGCGCAGGGAACCCTGGCTCACAAAAGCCGTAACGTGCCAGCAAGGCTACTGAGAAGAGGAATGTGTGTTCCCCTTTGCTGCTCTAACCAGTATACAGTTGTGGTACAGGACTGGAGTCAATAAACTGCCACGTGTAGAATAGGATTAGTGATGGACACAGGAAACGATACGAGTTGAATGGAGAGGGTGCAATGAAGCACAGCTATTGGTCACTCACTGGATGTTGCACCAAACAGGCACAATGGATGGACGGCACAACACGCAGTACCCATGTCCAGACTCCAGAATCTGTGGGGGGAATATGCAGACCACCCTCCAGGTTACTTCACACACTGTCCAAGCAGTGCATTTCCCACTTGCTAGAAAATACACATCCGCCAGTGAATGACTTGGGAGATTATGCCTATTGACTAGCCAGTGCAATCCTCCTAACACATGCTTGTTTTAACATCATTTTAAGGCTGCGGCCATTTTTGTGAACATTTTCCATTCAGCTCATATGGTCAATGCATGCGGAATGGAAAGTGTGCACAAGAGCTAGCAGTTTGTGTACTCTGTATTAAGAAGAGCCCTGCTGGATCAGACCAGTGAGGGTCCATCTAGTCCAGCATCCTGTCTCACACAGCGGCCAACCAGTTCCTCTGGAGGGCCAACAACAGGGCAGAGAGGTCGAGGCCTTCCCCTGAGAAGAACACCAGAAGAGCCCTGCTGGATCAGACCAGGGAGGGTCCCTCCAGTCCAGCCTCCCGTCTCACACAGGGGCCAGCCAGTTCCTCTGGAGGGCCAACAACAGGGCGTAGAGGCCGAGGCCTTCCCCTGAGAAGGACACCAGAGAAGCCCTGCTGGGTCAGACCAGGGAGGGTCCCTCTAGTCCAGCCTCCCGTCTCGCACAGGGGCCAGCCAGTTCCTCTGTAGAGGCAACAACAGGGCAGAGAGGCCGAGGCCTTCCCCTGATAAGAGCACCAGAAGAGCCCTGCTGGGTCAGACCAGGGAGGGTCCCTCTAGTCCAGCCTCCCGTCTCACACAGGGGCCAGCCAGTTCCTCTGGAAGGCCAAGAACAGGGCATAGAGGCTGAGGCATGGTCTTGATGTCAAGAACATAAGAAGAGCCCTGCTGGATCAGACCAATGGTCCATTTAGTCCAGCATCTTGTCTGACACAGTGGCCAGCCAGTTCCTCTGGAGGTCCAACAACAGGGCACAGAGACCAAGGCCTTCCTCTTGGCTCTGGGATCCAGAGGTTTAGTGACTCTGAATGTGGAGGTTCCCCTCAACCACCATGGCTAGTAGCCATTTGATAGACTTATCCTCCATGAATCTATCTATAACACCAGAACATCCCTGCTGGACCAGACCAGTGAGGGTCCATCTAGTCCAGCATCCTGTCTCACACAGTGGCCAGCCAGTTCCGTATCTGTTACCTGTCATTTCCTTCAGGGACTCCATCATGGCTACACCAACTCTTTCCACGGCAACCACTTGGTTTTCCTTCAAGTACTGTTTCAAGGCCGGGTGGATGACCTTCTGGCAAATCACCAGGCCCACCCCATCCTTGACCATCCGCTGGCCCAATCTAAGCAGCTGATCCAGGACTGCTGCTTCTAGGGAAACCCCGCGGTGGACGATGACGGCTCCTTCACCAGTCTCACAAACGTCTCCGGACAGAGACACGGAGAAGAGGGCCGTTCTGATGGGGCTCGAAGTCGTCCTTCCGCCAGGAAGCATTCTTGTCAGGTGGAATTCGGGTGTTTCAATCAGGAGCCCGGAACAGACACTGGAATCCAGAACTCTCTTATCTTTCATGGATACATAGAAACATCTCCCGAATCCAGTGACACCCGTTGCAGCATTCTGCGGAACCGTGAGCAGAAAGGCCTTCAAGACCAACGTACCGACGTGACCGGCTTCCTCCCTGCTCAGCATGCACCCGCACTTGCTGGTTAATACGCTACGGACCAGATCGAGGAGAATCTTAGAACGGCTAAAGTCCACCGGCATCTTACAGCCGCACGCTTCGGAAGCGAGGTAGTCGACGCACTGGCTTGAAAGGCGCCGGCATATGGCGACCCCTGTGCAAGACGGCATGTTGAGGTCTCTCAATTTCCCCAGCAGGCTGCAGCACAGAGCAGCCGTGAACAACCCGCCGTCTCCAAAGCGAGAGACGTGGTTCTGCACGGCGGCTGTCAGGAGCTTCAACACGGGGTGGGCGACGCAAAGGGAACCCAGCAAGGCCGAGGAGTGGGACGTGGTGCGGACGTAGCCGCCCAGGCCGTTGTGGAGGTGTTTCAGCCGCCCGGTAGGGCCGTAGCAGGACCTCACTATGTGGCTGAACGCCGCCAGGGAGTGGCCGACCGTCTCCTGACTTAAGGGTTCCCTCGTACACAAGGAAAGCTTTTTGGCGTCGACACGGGACATCTTTCCAAGAAAAAGACGCCAGCCCAGTGCGAGTTCTAGTTCACTTTCAAAAAAATACATTTAATGACCGAGAGCCAGAAATTGCACACCGCGAGTCCGTGCATTTTGCAGTCAACGGCAGACACGCCGACGGGGCGGTTC